CTCAAAACCCCACAGATAAAAATTAAGTTTGCTTCATTTCCATATAAAATATAAATACGCTTTAAAATTCTGATGGATGTCAAAAACTACGCAGTGAGGCATGAATATCAATGAGGCAATTCCGTTTACCTCAGATTAATTCATAAATATTTCTCATAAATTTAGTGACAAAATAAATTTAATCGAGCACACTGAGCTAATACAACTACATGGTCATAGGGTGAAACTAAGTTCATTAGATATTAAATAACGCCAATTAAAAAGTTTTGTTCTAGTTCAAAAGCCAAACAGAAACTGTGTGTTTGAAACATTGAACAGTATAAATAATTTCATATCAAACAAACAAAGTGTTCACCGTCAGAGCTTTAAGCACTCCACATAAATCAAAATGATATAAATACAACTAAATATAAAATATTATTATATATTATAATATATCAATAGACATTAGTGCTGCCCGGTGGCTCAGAGGTAAGTCTGAAGACCTATAACGCTAAAAATAGGGTTTCGATGCTCGCGGTGGGCACATCACAAAAGACCAATTACTTAGGTTTGCGAACAACAACGACAAATATATATATATATACTGCTATTATTTACAATAATTGATTACAATAATTAAGTAAACATTTTTTTAGTAATTCTTTACTTCTAGTTATTTACTTACGTTTTAAGTCCAGTAGAGTAGAATGAACAGCAGGAAAGTGTATTTATCTATCTGTAGACCAAATAATTGAAAATATATAATTCATTCGCCTACGATTGCTCAGAAACTAATGTATATATACTTACGATTTGAAGAGTACGGGTAACACAAAAAATATGTTAGGTATTTTTCCTTCCTACTTACGATTTAAAAAAATATGTTAGGTATTTTTCCTTCAAGTACGGGTAACACCTTCAAATCGTAAGTAGGAAGGAAAAATACCTAACATATTTTTTTGTGTTACCCGTACTCTTCATACCTAGATGACAACATTTCTCTTATTAGAACCAACTGTATCGTTTAAAATCTAAGTCCAACAGTCACATTCAAGTTCAAATGTCCAACTAAGCAACAGTTCGGCAAAATTCCAAACCTTTAACACAGAAAAAATGGACTGACAGAGAGCCAAAGTTATCAATAATATTTTGTTAGGAGTACTTCTACATGAAACGTACATGAAATATACTGTATTCTTGCGAAAACTAAAAAAAAAAAAGTGTTTATATTTAATCAGGTGTATTTTCATTCCACTGTTACTCACCAAATACAATTTAATTGCTTCAGGTTTTAATCACCGCTACTTCACTCTATTTTATGACGAAAAACAAATATGATTTTTAGATTCGCACGGTTATTATGTGCTTGTTTCAATATCTTTCGATAATTGTGAAACAACGCAGGAAAAGCAACTCTTCAAATATCAAAAACTCAATTCTACAGTTAGAAGAAAGACCTCTTGGGAAGATTAATTTTCATACACAAGCGTTTCGTCAATCCGTCCAGTCAGAAAAGAGTTAAATAAACTGACTATTTAAGAAGAATAAAAAAACTTCTATTGGGATTATTTCACCTATATGTACAATTTCACAGAAACCAAGAAAAAAAAAGAGAGAGAGATAGAAATATTTCATCAGAAGTATTTCGCGAGTCCATACCTACTTTCAAAATCCAATTCCACAAAAGGACCTATTCCGAGAAATCTATCTTATATAAATAGGCCCGGCATGGCCAGGTGGTTAGGGCGCTCGACTCGCAATCTGAGGGTCGCGGGTTCGAATCCCCGTCACACTAAACATGCTCGCCCTTTCAGCCGTGGGGGTGTTATAATGTAACTGGTCAATCCCACTATTCGTTGGTAAAAGAGTAGCCCAAGAGTTGGCGGTGGGTGGTGATGACTAGCTGCCTTCCCTCTAGTCTTACACTGCTAAATTAGGGATGGCTAGCGCAGATAGCCTCTTATAAATGTTTCACATGTCCTTCCACTTCTCAGAACCCAAGGTCACAATAAAAAGCAATTAAAAGAAGAAAAATTCAGTCACAAGTGTCTCGTCAGTCTTCCCAGTCTTGAAAATCCAAGGTAAAAATGGTTTATTAAGGAGAATAAATCCTCCATCACAATAGTTTCACCAGTTTGCCAGGTCACGAAAAAATAAATAATTATAAACAGTGACATCTTAATCCACAAAAAAATTGTAGGTGTTCATGATTTCACTCAGAATCAAAGCTGAAGAAAAGACTCGTCTATTTAGTTAATTTTTGTGTATTGCAAAGCTGCTTAGTTGTCTATCTACACTCTTCCCACCGCAATGAATCGTACCTAGGGTTTTAGTGTTGTAAGTTAGTAAATTTACTGTTGCCTACCAGGATATTCGTCGGTTTAGTGCATTCAAATATTTCCTCCGTACATAAATTCACTTAAAATTTGAGTTCAAGAAGATATTGATCAGTATTTCCTTATACCACAAAGGATTCCCCAGACCACATATTGAATGTTTCACAATAAACCTGGCCATTACCAATCTAGGATTGAGAACTTAACATTAGTGAGTCCAATTTACCCATTTGTCCTCAGTCACGCAGAATACAAACTCAACAAAGTTCTAAACCTTTAATTCCATCATAGACATTTAGTTGGTCAACGCAGTTACTCAGAATCAAAGCTCACCATTAATGCATTCATGTTTACAACAGTTGTCTTCCACTCAATTAATCAGAATCAAAGATCAAGAAGGCAATTTACAGTAGTTTTCAATATCACCACAAATGTTTCCCCACTCTACATCTTGAACATTAGTACTTTCAATTCTAACAAAGGCGTTTACCTATTCCACTCAGTCACTCAAAATCCATGTTTAAGGGGCTTAAGAGGGCTTTTTTTTTCCAGTGGTTAATTCAACTCCATCTGAGGTATTACCCAAGTTCAATCATTTTCAAGAAACTGCTCATCAGTATGAAGTAACTTAACAAAGACTGCCAATAAACAGTTTTTGTGGTAATTGCAACTTTGACTTTGGTTGGTCGGGGAAATTTTTGCCCCATGAATTGGGGTCAGTAAAGCCAATAATCTAAAACAGACTGTAAATAAACATAATATCAAGGAGTGCTAGATAATCCTCACTGTAAGAGCTCTCCAAATTTTATGAAAATGGCGAAATCGTGAACGACCCCGAATTTAAATACAATGTACAACCAAAAATTGAAATATATTTATTAAAATTTTTTCTAAATTATTAATTAGTGGAATTAATGACAATGAGGAACATCCACTACCTAGATTCTGTTTTTTTTTAGAAAGGTTTGTTTGTTTGTAAGTAAGCACAAAGCTACACAATGGGCTATCTAAGCTCTGCCCATCACGGGTATCAAAACCCGGATTCTAGCGTTGTAAGTCCGCAGACATACCGCTGTGCCACTGGGGGACGCTCTTTCGAAAGGAAATTTTCAGATAAGTTAATTCAGTCAGACTGTATCATTGATGACTTTGAATTTGAAGATACTCATATTCGACGGATTGTAAACAATGATATATTTTTCAGTGAAATACGTTTTAATTTCGGTTCTATTGTTCAATTACTTGAAGAACAATTTAACTATAAAATATCGTCCCTTCAGTAGTACATATGTACGTAATAAATAGGAAAAACCCAAATCAACTTTCTTCCTGCAGACCACACTATTATACAGTCGAAGAAGTCCATTTCGTGGACTCATGAAGTTTAATGGCAAAAAGCCAAAGCACTCCTTTAGCGTGCAACTTTTAACTGCAGGCACTCTGATCAGGTATTGCAGAAGACTTATAAATGAAAATGCAAAATAAAACAACGGCTAACATTGTTCTTAACTTTAGCTCTGATAATTAAGCGATTTTTGATACGTATTAAATTAAACAACCACATGAATATGAAATCTGACAGTTTAAGTTTAACAGCAATTCACATTTTTTAAAATGAATTTGTTGAATACAGCTACGAAAAAAATTTGTTTTTGTTGTGAAATTAATTTTAGAAATTACAGTATAACTTACCCACGACTACCACTCGGCCTTTTAACCTCACATACATTGAGCAACAACGATATTCCGACGTTACCTATCAGCGTTGATTAGTAATCTTACGTAAATTTTACAGCATTATCTCTACCAAGATAGAGTTTTCGACAACACGCAGCGTGAATACCAATCCCCTGTCAGTTGAAACCTTAAGGGTTGTTTCGTTTTGGTTTAGTTTGTTTTGAATTTCGCGCAAAGCTACACGATGGTTATCTGCGTTAACCGTCCCTAATTTAGCAGTGAGAGACTAGAGGGAAGGCAGCTAGTCATCACCACCCACCGCCAACTATTGGGCTACTCTTTTACCAATGTCCCATTATAACGCCCGACGGCTGAAAGGGCGAACATGTTTGATGGGACAGGGATTCGACCCCGCGACCCTCAGATTACGAGTCGAGCGCCCTAACCAAGGCAGTTTTGATTAGATTATGTAATATTTTTAATTAAGATTGAATTCTTTCCACCCAATTTCAGGCTAAACTTATACTACAATTACCCTATCATCCGAACTTGAAACACATCATTGGAAAGAATATTTTCAAATATCTTTATTGTTGGACAACACAATACCTTTTGATACCTGTCACACAAAAATAAAACACTTATACTATTTTTGAACATGTTTTTCAGAACTATCACACTATAAAGTTCTTGAACTAATCTTGGAAAAGTTGCCCAATTCTGGTGATAAAAAAAACGGTATACATATTCAGCTAGGTGGCGTGGAGGAGTGCTGTAAACTCCTGCACGTTTTGGGACAGAGCACCAACCAAAAACGCATTTTGTGCATTTGAGAAATTTTTGTACAAAATTATACAGTTTGTTAATAGTATGAAATAAAAATTCTCAACATATTTTTACATGAAAAATCACACAACTCTTCAAAGCTGCAAACGTTTTGATAAATTGATTTAGAGACAGACAGCACAGAAATTAAAGATGGAAAAATACATTTTGTAGTATTACCATGAGACATTATGCATCAAATACAGGTTGGACTGCATGACACGGTTCCCTGGTGGCTCTGAAGGCTTATAACGCTAAAAATCGGGTTTAGATACTCCCGGTGGACCCAGCGCAGATAGACTTCTATGTAGCTTTGTGCTCTATAACATACAAAGTACAACAGGTTAAGATGTTGATACGTTTCAGTTTCGAATATAAAATTAATTAAAAAGTGATAATACGACGTATAAAATATGTCTTATGTCTAATACAAATTATATAAAGCATTTTCTATTTGCACATAATTTTTCATATAACTTCACCAACACCTTCTTAACATCAAGGTGTCTAGCTGTTATAAGATAAAGAAAAGTATCTCAAAGTAGAAAGAATCAGGGTAATACTAGTTTCAATTTTTTTTTCTGGTTATTTTTGATAAACTCTCGCATCTTCGCATTGCCTGTAAAAAAAAAAACAAAAAAACTTGTTATATAGCGTAAGGATTCCCACTAAGACAATACATTTTAATTTGTGAACACGAGAGAGATTCTGTTTGCCAAAATAGTATCTCTGCCTCAAGCCTAATTAATTTAATAATATTGTTTGTTTGTTTTGAATTTCGCGCTAACCGTCTCAATTTAGCAGTAAAGGACTAGAGGGAAAGCAGCTAGTCATCACCACCCAACGCCAACTCTTGGGCTACTCCTTTACCAACGAATAGTGGGATTGACTGTCACATTATAACGCCCCCACGGCTGAAAGGGCGAGCATGATCAGGATGATCTCAAGCTCTCAACTACATTTCTTCAAAAGCTATAACCACAAGATTCACTGTTCAGTTTGTTCTCCAACATTTTGTTTTCACATATTGCAATCACTTTGCAGTTAACAACAGTTCGCTCATTAGTTTTACCTGTGCTGACAAACCGCCTTCTTTACAGATAATGTCTGTCCAAATAACAGTTTGTAGATCCACTACCAATCGGTATCTCTGCGTTTCTAATAACTCTTGGTAAAAATATCTTTAAACACCAAATATCAAAAATGGATGTTACGTTCATTCCATATGAAGATGACCTTATTCATGTTTTCTGACTGATAATTACTCCCTCCACCACTAAATTATATTTCTGTCTTTTGATAAAACTAGTACGGTGATATCTTAATCTATTTTAAGACGGAAGCAAATTACCTTTTATAATTTAATGTTATGTACACAGTGCTCTTTAAAACCACATAAGATCGACAACTTCTGCAGTCCTTAACACAGCACCCAGTATTTTCTCTTTTTAAAACAACTTTCAATTTGGGTAGCTTTTTTGGGGAAAACTTCACGCTGAATTTGTTGAATTAATCTATCTGTCTCATTTACACATTCTTGAGAGTCAAACAACAAATCATTATAAGCTGGTTTAATGGCTTTGAAAGATCCATGAGCCTATTTGATGCTTTCAAACCTCATAGCGACTCGAATAGCTCCCTTCACAACATAACTTCTACCATAAATTAATTGTACGACATGTTTCATTTCAAAACGCGTCTGTGTATTGTGAATTGATAATGTGTCAATGGATTCATTGCGTCTTTAGGCACCCTTTCTTAGTGCAAATAAATAAGATTCCACATGTTAGAGCATGCACTGCTAAGGTTTCTCCTGATGTTCTTCATTATGTCCATGAACCCCTTTCATAACTTTGTGACACCACTTTCTGATGACACATCATTAACTGCTTGGCACGAACAAATATTAATGACTAGTAATGATTCAGACTTTCTTCTGGTAGGTTGCGTGGTGCTGTTAACATTGGTAAGATCAATTGAGCAGTAAGATGACCAGCTTGGTGTTTATGTTTATTCACATGTGAAATAATATTCAATTGGACCTGATATAATTCCCAACGTAGTTTACTATCATAATATTTTGGTCTTAACTATTGATGAAAAAAGTGAAAATTGTCTCCTAAGTTCTTTGACTCGATACAAAGGTGATTGTAGTCCCATAAGGTACTGCTGGTTATGATGATACTAGTTCCTTTAGTTACCGAAGACAGGGCTGTGGAAAAGTCTGAAAAAACCTGCAAGCTACGACAACTCTTACACTGGCTTCCGGTGTGTTTATGTGGCTTCCAACAAAAACTTTGAATTTGTATCCACATCTACTTGTATTGGGTAGTTTTGACATGTATTTAAACTACTGGATGAACAGCTTGCCCTAGCATCAATGGTTTCGATAGAACTTTAACGTTATAAGGTTTTGTCCATGCGTTTTATGGCCTCTTTAACAACTCGTTAATGTTTTTTCTTCTATTTTTCATTATATATATATATTCAGTACATAAGACAAACGAAAAAAGTTTATACAGGAAAAAAAAATTAACCCAGATAAAGTAGCAAAATCTACTCGATAGGTAGGAAAAAAAGTCTCCCCCTTCACTGATAAAAAATACCTGTATGACCAAACGCACGAGCATGTGTATACAAGGCAAAAGGAAACAGAGATCTATACCTGCATATCTACTTAATATTTATTTTAGCGTAAAGTATACAATGGGCTATTGGCGTCGTGCCAATCGAAGAGAGCGAACCCTGAATTTTAGCATTAAAAGTCATCAAGTTTATTGTTGAGCCATCGTGGAGCATTTTTAAACGTTAAAATAGATATTTACCAAAATAAAATTTCTAAATAATAAACGTTCTTCAATTTTTCATGATCACCATACCTATCCAAGAATGTCAACAGCAACACACGCTTTGAGTACGAGTAGAT